TTGATTCTAATAGGTACTCTTTCCATAATTGTAATCAGTCTATACGTATTACCTTATTTTCCACTTATTTTCAAAACTATAAATGCCCTACCCTCTCTTTAGCAGAGACACACGAACAAAAAATTCATTGTTCTGAACTCTCTCTTACACACATAAGCATACTCAGTGTTCTCTCTTGTTTCTACACATCCTCTCTCACTTTCCCTGTTGACTACTGATTACTCAGTCGGCTGAAAGCCAAGACTGAGTGATTTTGGGGCTGCTCTACTATCTACTGCTCTATACATTGCTAATTGCTTGGTCTGCATACTACTGCTCACTTCCCTGCACTGCTCTTCTATATTATCTCATCCTCGAATGGTATGCCCTCTATTTGATCTACAGCTTCCGAAACAATGTGTTTTTATACATACTGCACTTTATTTTGTTTCTTCTATGCTTTTACTTATGGTTCTGCTGTTCTTATTGCAACTAACATGCCCCTGTGTTAGTTCATTAATGTGACTATCCTTCTCTTAATTCAGCATGCCTACTGATTTGCTTAATGCATGTTCTCCCCTACCCCCTAGCCCCAGTACATTGTCAGCATGTAATCCTGAGCCCTTTTGGTTGAAACCTTGTGTGACTATCTAAGTGTCCTGAAATGCTGTCTGTGTTCCTACATGTGAACTATTTGTCCCCATTCCCCTTTTTTCCCTGTTTGTGTTTACTTCCCTGAATTATATATGGTATTTTGGTTCTGAGGTTGTCAGAATTGTCGCATTGTTTTCTTTCAAAACTGGTTCTATATGGATCATTTTTAAAACTTTTTTTCAACTCAATTTCTTTAAAAACTCTACCACACACTCTCACTACTCCTAGAGTTTAGGTTCTACCCCCTTCGTGTAAGCATTGCCTTGGGTACCTTTGAGTACCCATTGAACTTTGATGCACAAGGCTGGTAATTCCACTGCACTTGTTCAACATTTTGGTAGTGTTTGGGTGCTGGTATTGGCCGAGGACCCCAATGGGCCCTTAGGGAGCTTTGCCGCACCCAAACCATGGCCAAGGCTGTGAAACTCGAAAGAAGTGAGGTTGGAAGATTGGGCCTGGTTGAAGGCTCCCTATAGAGTAACTTCTTATTTTATTTCTCATTATGTAATTCAGCTATCACGGTTTGTAATAACTTGTAAACAACTGATTGGGGCTATAGTGAAACTGGGTGGGATTATGCATGTTTAGTTTAATTAATGGGTAGAGAACATGTCTATAGGGCTTTACTTACCTATTTGTGCATTAGAAACCATGTATAGGACATGCATCTTACATCTAGATATCCTGTTTTAGGCTCTTTACTTTCAGATTATCATACTCACTTTGTAATCAGTTAGTAATCGGCAAACAACTGTCATAAAATTACTACTGCATTTAGAGACCCTGCTTTAGGAGCTTTATGTGCATTAGATATCATGTTACTTAGGATTTTATTTCATCTGAGTTGCAATTGTTGAACGCCTCGCCAGTTTGTTTAATTTAATAACACAAGTCTGGGCTAAAACTGCATCTTCTCTTTAAAACTAGAACTAATATGCATGTTCACCTTTTCAAATAGGCAATACATACGATGCCTAGGCAAGCCTTAGGCTAATAATAATAAAAAAAACTGATTGATCTTGTTTTACCAGTTTCAGACTACTCAGCCTTTTAAAACTTTCCCAACTCTGTTTTTTTATCTGTCTCTCTGAAGTTCCCTTTTTACTGAAAATCTCTCTACCTGGAAACCAGTTCCGTAGTTATATGCTCTCACTAATTTTCCGATTCTTGCTCTATTAAGCTTTCAAACTACTGGGTTATCTCTCTGCCCAGGAACGCCTTATTTTGATACTGGTCTAATTAAACTACTGTATTTTCCAATCTCTGCTTTCTTCAAAACGATGTTTTAACAGTTCCCTCACCTTTACTTATTCAACTGTTTTTTAGATGTATTCCTAAAAAATCAAACCCTTCGGGTCATTCAATTTTGATTATACCTTCTGCTTTTACTGAAACTTATCTTTTTCCGGCACCCCTGCTTTTAAACTCTGTTCTTTTTTATAAGACCTTAAATGTGTTTGAGACGTGCTAATTACATGTTTACTTGTGGAGGGATTTGTGAGCCTCTTATTTTCTTTTGTATGTTCCCTTTATGTGTAGTCCTACTTGTTATGAATGTCGCCTAGCATTTTGTCCTTTAAACCTAGGTGTTCAGCCTAGTCCTTACCTTGTAGGAATAGTGGTCCTAAATACCCTCTAGGACTTATAGGATGGGACGGGTAATAGCACACAGTAAGCATTCGTGACCAATCATGCGTTTAAATAACCTTTACGGGGTGGAAAGGGTAGAATATGGAGATGATGACCGATGCGCTAATATCACGTGCGACCCCTCTTCTGAGGAGTGATTGCTGGATATTGCATTGACGTGATCCATATCAATCATAAACTTAGGACCCCTCTTCCTTTATTTGCTTTTCATCCTTTCTTGTAAAACTCTTTAAATCTTTCTTTTCATAAAATTCTGCCCTCTCTACTTATCTTCACAAGTTTTCAACTTATTGCAATATGATATGCAAATCCTTATTTGAGTCTTACTTGTAAAGTCACAATTGTAACATGGCCGGGACCACACTAGTGGATCTTGAGGGGTGCCTAACACCTTCCCCTCAAGATAATTTCTAGCCCTTACCCTAATCTCTGGTTTCTTCAATTCAAACCCTTCTTAAGTGTCCTAATGCACTATAATCATTAGGTGGCGACTCTCCAATTCCAAAACCCAATTCTCGCAAGGGAATAAAGTTGTCCTCCCAAATGTCGTAAACCCGATTTTGCCTTAGAAAAAAGGGGGCGTCAACATATACATGGTTTGATTTATAAGGGAACCAGGTTCATCCATGTCTAGACGGGTGGCTGTGGCAATGGGAGTGTCGATGACTTTTGATTCTTCCATATCAAACCTTTTCAGCAGCTCCTTTATGTACTTCTATTGACTTATCAATGTTCCCTCTTAAGATTGCTTCAGTTGAAGTCCTAGGAAGAAATTTAGTTCACCCATCATACTCATCTCGAATTCACTCCCCATGAATTTTGCAAATTCTTCACAAAGAGAGTCAGTTGTGGCTCCAAAGATGATATCATCAACATACACCTGAACAATGAGCAGGTTCCTCCCTCGTTTCTTCAGAAAAAGAGTGTTGTCAATCTTCCATCTTGTAAAGCCATTTTCTAGAAGGAATTTTGACAACCTTTAAGCCCTGGGAGCCTATTTTAACCCGTACAATGCCTTATCCAGTTTAAACACATGATTAGGGTGCTCGTGACACTCAAAACCAGGAGGCTGCTTGACATAGACTTCTTCTTTCAGATAGCCATTTAGAAATGCACTTTTGACATCCATTTGGAACAGTGTGAACTCCATATGAGATGCAAAGGTGAACTCTATATGAGATGCAAAGGCAATCATAATTCTAGTGGCTTCCATTCGAGCTACGGGAGCGAATGTTTCATCATAATCAATCCCTTCTTCCTGATTGTAGCCTTGAAATAAAAGCCTTGCCCTGTTTCTTGTTGTATTTCCAAAGTCATCAAGTTTGTTCCTGAATATCCACCTGGTTCCTATGATGGTTCGATCTGCAGGTCGAGGAACCAGGTGCCACACCTTGTTCCTTTCGAATTGAGGCAGCTCCTCTTGCATGGCCATGATCCAGTATGCATCTTTCAACGCTTCTTTTATATTTTTGGGCTCTATTTGGGAAAGAGAGGTTTAGAAGGCAAGTGAGTTTCTTTCTTTCAATATGGTTTGAACCTGAGTCTAGAGGAGTAATTATGTTGTCAATAGGATGTGAACTTTTGAACCTCCAATTTGGTGCCTGAGTCTCATTGGTAGAGGAACCAGGTATATCTAACTGGGGTTGTTGGACGCTTCTTACTTTACAGAGTGGAGTTCCTTGGACTGCATCAACAACTCTGTTTTCAGCTTCAGTTGTTGTAATCGGGGGACCAGGTTCCTCTCCAATGGATGGAGATGTATTTGCATCTTCTTCACTGGATTCCTTGACATGGCTCATCATGTCTACCTTTTCATTTGCCATGTCAATTACTTCACCTAGAACAGATAAGGGCTCTCCATCTTGATCAACATGTCTGTCCTTCTCATATGAGAGGTGAGCTTCATCAAAGATCACATGTATGCTTTCTTCAACACATTGAGTCCTTTTGTTGTATACCTTACAAGATTTTCTTTGAGATGAGTATCCCAGAAAAATTCCTTCATCACTTTTGGCATCGAACTTTCCAAGAGCTTCCTTTCCATTGTTATGAACAAAGCATTTACACCCAAAAGTTCTTAGATGTGTCAGCTTGGGATTCCTTCCATTCAACAGTTCATATGGAGTTTTGTTCAGAAGGGACCTGATCATGCACCTGTTTACCAAGTAGCACGCAGTATTGACAACTTCTGCCCAGAAATACTTTGCGATCCCACTGTCAATTAGCATTGTTCTTGACATGTCTTCTAGAGTTCTATTCTTCTTCTCCACAACACCATTTTGTTGAGATGTTCTTGGAGATGAAAAATTGTGAGTGATGCCATTTTCAGTGCAGAACTCATTGAATTTGACATTGTTAAACTCCATCCCATGATCAGACCTAATGCAAGCTACTTTATTACCCATCTACACTTGGATCTTCTTGACAAAAGCAACAAACACTTCAAAGGTTTCATCCTTGGCCCTGAGGAACAAAGTCCAGGTGAATCTAGAATAGTCATCAACTATCACAAAGATGTACTTCTTTCCTCCTCTGCTTGGCACCTTCATAGGTCCACATAGATCCATGTGAAGAAGATCAAGTGGCCTTGCGATGCTGACTTCCTTTTTAGGCTTGAATGGGGATCTGACTTGCTTCCCTTTTACACATGCATCACATACTTTGTGATCCTTGAAGCTTGACTTGGGTAGACCACGAACCAGGTCCTTCCTGACTAATTAATTTAACAACGTGAAACTTGCATGACCTAGCCTCCTGTGCCATAATTCAGCATCATCGTCAACATCACTTAGACAACTTAGATCACTATTCTTCAGAGACTCAAAATCAACTACATAGATGTTCTTGTATCTTTTTGCCACTAGCACCACCTCACCAGTTACCAGGTTTGTGACTGTACAGATTTTTGACACAAATTCCACCTTGTTTCCCTTGTCACAGATTTGGGAAACACTTAGTAGGCTGTACTTCAACCCTTTCACGTAGTACACATTTTCAATTGAGTGAGAGAGAGACTTCCCAATCCTTCCGACTCCTAGAATGTATCCGTTCTTGCCATTTCCAAAGGATACACTCCCTCCTTGCAGGGCCTATAGTGAAAGGAAATTATTTGTACTTCCAGTCATATGCTTTGAGCAGCCACCGTCCATGTACCATTGTAGGCTTCTTCCTTTCACTGTTCCCTACATAAGAAAAATTAGGAGTTAGCTTTAGGAACCCAACTAATTTGGTCCCTTGTAATGAGGAAAGGGGTGAATAACGGATCTTTTGGTCCATGCAAGCATTATGCATTTTTTATATGAGGAACAGGTTCTCTACCAGTAGTTACTTTTACAGCAAAAGATTTGTTTTTCTGCTGTGACTGAAACCTGGCCTTACAATTTCTTTAAAGTACCCATTGTTACCACAGTGAGTGCAGAGCCAATTGTCAGGTACAGTAACGTACTTGCTATGAGGGTTGTAGGGAATTTTTTTCCTTTTGAAACCCAATCCCCTGCCTGTTTCCCCCATTATTGGTATACATGGCAGTGATAGCATCAGAGGAACAGGTCCACTTGAGTGATCTTTCAAGATCACTCTTCACTCTATCTAGTTCTTCCTAAAGTTTTTTGTTTCTCTCAAGCTCAGCACACAGACTAGACTTCACTGAATTTAACTCACTTTCAAGCTTAATGTGTGCCTTGCTTGCAACTTCCTTTCCTTTTTGAGAACCTTTAGGCCTACTCTCCATTTCAAGCTCCCCAATCGTTTTCTTCAAATCCATTACCACCACTAGGAGGTCATCTCTCTCATGCTCACTACTAGCAACTTTTTCAATTAAGGCATATTTTTTCATACTTACACTCTCGATGGTCTCGTTTAGGTCCACCATAACAGCCATACAATCATCTCTTTCTTGTTCTATATATGCAATTTTTTTATTTAAGACATCTCTTTCTTTCTTCAGGTTCTTAATTAACTCCATTAAATCAACTGCACCTATTACTAGGTCATCTCTAGACTGTTCTGCTTCTCCTAGTTCAATTGTTAAGGCATCTTTGTCATTTATAAGACTATGATAAGCGCGGATTAACACATTTGCCAAAGACATGAGTTTCTTAAGAGAATAAGATTTCAGATTTCTCTGAACATCCAGAAAATTTACCTCATCATCATCGTCATCTTCATCATTAGACTGGGCCATCAAAGCAAAAATTGAATCATACTTGGTTGCTTCACTTTCTACTGCCATCATAGAGCTATTGCCTGGTTCATCATCTTCTCCAGATTCACTTGATGAATCTCCCCATGCAGCAAGAGCTTGTCTCACGACGTTGTCAGTGGCGTTTTTTCTATTGAAGCGTCTATCAGGAACCGGGTTCCTTTTGGCTGCTTTGTCAGAGTTGTTCTGGTACTGATCCTGCTTTAGAGGGCAATCCTTGATGAAATGTCCTGGCTTGCCACATTTATGACAAAGGTCGTAATTCTTTGGCTTGCTAGAACTTCCCTTTTTTGGGATGCCTCCATTCCTGCGAACCATCTTCTGGAATCTTCTTGTCAGGTATGCCATATCACCATCCTCATCACTTGAACCATTGCTTTCTGTCTTGAAGACCAGGTTCTTCTACCTCTTGGGCTCTCTTCTTTCACTATCCTTCTTCTTCTTCATTTCATATGTTTTTAGATTTCCAACAAGCTCATCAATAGTTAGCTCCTGCAAGTCCTTCGCCTCTGTAATGGCGTTCACTTTGCTTTCCCAAGAACTGGGCAGCACACTGAGGATTTTTCTAACCAGCTTGTTTCTTGGAATAGTTTCACCAAGGCAGTGAAGCTCATTAATGATGGCGGTGAACCGGGTATGCATTTTTTGAACAGATTCATCGTCTTTCATCCTGAAGAGCTCGTATTCAGTTGTGAGCATGTCGATTTTGGATTGCTTGAACTGTGTTGTTCCTTCGTGAGCTATCTGAAGGGCTTCCCAGATTTCTTTGGCTGACTGATATGTCGATATCCTATTGTATTCATTAGGACCAATACCACACACCAGAATTTTCTTTGCACGAAAGTTCTTCTCTATGGCCTTTCTATCAGCATCAATGAATTCTTTCCTTGTCTTTGGAATAGCTACAGGTGGGTCGCCAAGGTTTTTGGTAGGGACAAAGGGTCCATCACATATGACATCCCATAGCTCAGAATCTTCAGCCATGATGAAATCATGCATTCTAGTTTTCCACTATCCATAATACTGTCCTTTGAACCTAGGTGGTCTGTAAGTAGACTGGCCTTCTTCAAAGTTTGGAGGAGCAGCCATGAGGATCCTTTCTAGGTGTTAACTTGATAGAAAGAACCTGTTCGGATACCAATTGATAGAATATAAAGGTCCACCAAACTCTATAGACAACCAGGTTCTCTATCAGTTCCACTAGAACACACGCACACAACAGTAAGTAAATGACATGAGGAATTTTACGTGGAAAATTCCCAGCTCAACGGGATTAAAAACTACGACCTACCCTTGTAGGATTTCAACTTCACTACTGATCAACTTTTAGATTACAACCTATGCAACCTAGGAATTAACCTCTTAATCCCTCACTAACTTGTAACACTCTATTACAAGCCACTTTGTAATAACTCTATTATAAAGACTTTGCAACTTGACTAACTCTAGCCAAGACTCAAACACACACGGGTTTAACGTTTACAAAGGGGTTCCTACAGAATGCTTCTAAACAAGCTAGATAGGAATTACAATTGAAGAACTATTACAAAGTTACAACACTACTATAGACACGTAATGACTTGATGTGGGAACTGGTCCGTAGTTGTTTTGTTCTTTGTTCTTGAAGCACTTGAAACTTTCTTGCTGGATAGTCACGTGAGTGAGCTTGAGTAAAATCTCTAAGTGTTCAAGTAAATTTGTTTTACCTTCCTTGATTGTATATATACATGTGTGACATCACTTACAATGATGTAAGAAAGGTAGGTAAAAAGTCTTCAATAGAAAGTTGACTGCTGCACTATTCCTGTACTGTAGGGTGTGCAGGCAGCAACTTTCCAGTTGGAGAGTTGACTTCATACAGTCTCCTTGGAACAGGTAGGGACCTGTTCCCTCAGCTGTTCCTTCCACTTTGAAGAGTTGAATCATATCCCACGCTGGATCCTAACCTGGAACATTGTGATCTTAAGGTCTTGTACATGTGTAACCGGTTCCTTATCTGGTTCTGGATAGTAAGTTTGTTAGATCATCAAAACATAAAGCAAAGTACTTATGACCAGAGTACTTGTAAACCTATCAAGAATCTTGCTGACAGAGAGAGACGGAAGAGAGAGAGAAAGAACATGATTGACGTATTTCATGCCTTAATGATAGGTATAAATAAATACCTATTTTGCTATAAAATAGAAAAGGTAGCTATAATTAATAATATTTTGAAATTATTTTGGTTTATAATAAAAAAGGTATAATAGTTTACTATAGGAGGTAAAATTTCCTTAATATAAATAGTCGTCTGTCCAAAAANTATATATATATATATATATATATATATATATATATATATATATATATATATATATATCAGATGGATGCTTCGTCATGATCGTTCCTCGTTTTTTGACATTTTAGGGTCACAAAACTAGAATTCCGCCCGATTTCCATATTTTCGTATGCTATAGTGCATGCCATCTGCATGCATTCGGGTGGTCGGTTCCGAATCGCCTACAATTTTGCTGTCCCATCAAAAACGACATAGGGAACAATATTCATCGCTTCGCCATGACCGTACCTACCTTTTTAGCGTTTTAGGGCCATAAAACTGGAATTTCGCTCGATTCCTAGATTTTCGTGGACTATTATAGCCCACACCATTTGCATTCATCCGGGCGACCCGCCCCGAATTGCCTAAAATTTTTCCGGCCTATCAAAAATGATTTAGGGAACAATAATCATTGCTTTGCCATGACCGTTTCTCGTTTTTGGCATTTTAGGGCCATAAAATTGAAATTTCACCCGATTCTCAGATTTTCGTGTGTTATAGACCACGCCATTTGCATGTATCCAGGCGACCGGACCCAAATCGAGTTAAATTTTATCGGTCCATCAAAAATGACCTAAGGAACGATTGTCAACCTTCGCCATGACTGTTCCACCTTTTTTGGCATTTTAGGGCTATAAAACTAGAATTCCTCCCGATTCCCAAATTTTATGGCTATAACCCACGCAAATCTCGGGAATCTGGTAAAATTCTAGTTTTATGGCACTAAAATATCAAAAACGAGGAACGGTCATGGCGAAGCGATGGCTGTTGTTCCTTAGTTCATTTTTTATAGGCCAATTTTTTTTAGGCAATTCGGGTCCCCCGTTGCCCGGACGCATGCAGATGGCGTGGGCTATATGATATGATAATAGGGCGGAATTCTAGTTTTATAGCCCTAAAATGCAAAAACACGAGGAACGATCATGACAAAGCAATGCCTATTGTTCCTTAGGCCATTTTTTATGGGTCGGCAAAATTCTAGGTGATTGGAAATAGGCCAGCCGGATGCATGCAGATGACGTGGGCTATAACAGACGAGAATCTAAAAATCGGGCGAAATTCCAGTTTTATGGCCCTAAAATGCCAAAAAACGAGGAGTGGTCATGGCGAAGCGATGACTATTGTTCCTTAGGTCATTTGTTATGGGCCGACAAAATTTTAGGCTATTCTGGTCGCCGGATGCATGCAGATGGCGTAGGCTATAGCACACGATAATCTGGGAATCGGGCGAAATTTTACTTTTATGGCCCTAAAACGCCTAAAATGAGGAACGGACATGTTGAAGCGAAGATTATTGTTACTTAAGGCATTTTTGATGGGCAGACAATATTATAGGCGATCCAGGATCGATCACCTGGATGCATGTAGGTGGCATGGTCTATAACACACGAAAATCTGGGAGCCGGGCAGAATTCCAATTTTATGGTCCTAAAACGCCAAAAATCGAGGAATGGTTATGGAAAGCAATGACTATTGTGCCTTAGGTCATTTTTGGTAAGCTGGTAAAATTTTAAGCCATTCGGGTCCGTTCATCTGGATGCATGCAAATGGCATGGGTTATGGCATACGAAAATTTAGGAATCGGGCGGAATTCTAATTTTATGGCCCTAAAATACCAGAAAATGAGGAACAGTCATGGCGAAGCAATGGTTATTGTTCCTTAGGTTATTTTTGATGGGCTGGAAAATTTTTGGCGATTCAGGTCCGATCGTCCGAATGCATGCAGATGGCATGAGGGCTATATGACACGAAAATCTAAGAATCGAGCAAAATTATAGTTTATGACCCTAGAACGCAAAAAATAAAACGAGGAACGATCATGGCAAAACAATGAGTATTGTTCCTTAGGTCATTTTTGACAGGTCGATAAAATTTTAGGCGATTCGGGTCCGGTCGCCATAGATGCATGCAGATAGCGTGGGCTATAGCACACGAAAAATCTGGAAATCGGGCGAAATTCCAGCTTTATGGCCCTAAAATACTAAAAAATGAGGAGCAATCAGTGCGAAGCGATGACTATTGTTCCTTATGTCATTTTTTATGGGTCAACAAAATTTTGGGCTATTAGAGTCCGGTCTCCTGGATGCCTACTAATGGCGTGGGTTGTAGCACACAAAAATTTGAGAATCGAACGAAATTCCAATTTATGGTCTTAAAATGCCAAAAATCGAGGAACAATCTTGGCGAATCGATGACTATTGTTCCTTAGGTCTTTGTTGATAGGCTGGTAAAATTTTAGGCGATTCGGGTCCGGTCATCCGGATGCATATAAATGGCACGGGTTATAGCACACGAAATCTGGAAATAGGATAGAATTCCCATTGTATGGCCCTAAAATACCAAAAAATGATGAACAGTCATGGCAAAGCGATAATTATTCTTCTTTAGGTCATTTTTCATGGGTCGATAATATTTTAAGTGATTCGAGATCGGTCGCCCGATTGCATGCAGATGGCGCACCCAAAATTTTCAGAATCGAGCAAAATTTCAGTTTTATGGCCCTAAAACGTCAAAAAATGAGGAATGGTCATGTTAAAACGAAGATTATTGTTCCTTAGGGCGTTTTTGATGGGCCGGTAATTTTAAGCGATTCAGGACCGATCGCCAAGATGCATGCAGATGGCGTGGGATATAGCACATGAAAATCTGAAAATCGGGCGGAATTCCAATTTTATGGCCCTAAAATGCCAAAAATAAGGAGTGGTCATGGCAAAACGAGGACTATTGTTCCTTAGGTTATTTTTGATGGGTCGGCAAATTTTTAGGCTATTCGGGTCCGGTCGTCTGGATGCCCAGCACATGAAAATCTAAGAATCGAGTGGAATTCCACTTTTATTGCCCTAAAACACCAAAAAATGAGAAATGGTCATGTCGAAGCGAAGATTATTGTTCCTTAGGGCATTTTGCCGACAAATTTAGGCGATTCAGGACCGATCAGTCGGATGCATGCGGATGACGTGGACTATAACACACGAAAATTTGGATAATCGGGTAGAATTCTAGTTTTATTACCCTAAAATTCCAAATATCGAGGAAGGGTCATGGCGAATCGATGACTATTATTTCTTAGGTCGTTTTTGATAGACCGATAAAATTTTTAGGAGATTCAGGTCTGGTCGTCAGGATGCATGCAGATAGCGTGGGCTATAGCACACGAAAATCTGAGAATAGGGCAGAATTCCAGATTTATGGCCCTAAAATACCAAAAAATGAGAAAAGATCATGGCGAAGCGATGATTATTGTTCCTTAGGTCATTTTTGATGGGTCGCCGAAATTAAGCGATTCGGGTCCGGTTACAAGGATGCATGCAGATGACGTGGGCTATAGGACACGCAAAATTAGGGATCGGGTGAAATTCTAGTTTTAGGACCCTAAAACACAAAAAAGAGGAACGCTCATGGAGAAACAGTGACTATTGTTCCTTAGGTCATTTTTTTATAGCCCGGTACAATTTTAAACAATTCGGTACTGGTCACCCGCATGCATGCAGATGTTGCGGGCTATAGCACACGAACATTTGGGAATCGCGCTGAATTCCAGTTTTATGTCCCTATACCACCAAAAATCGAGTAACGGTTATAGCGAAGCGATAACTATTGTTTCTTAGGTCATTTTTATGGACCGGCAAAGTTTTAGGTGATTCGGGTCCGGTCGCCCGGATGCATA